GCAGGTTACGTAGGCATCTGTTGTTAATTATATCATGGCCAGGTGCCGACCTAATCTTCAATCTCGCTATAATTTGGGAGATTTCTTCGTTACTGCATACTGCAGTGCCATCATCTGGCTCCTGATCCAAAATATTATTTGCCTCCTCGGAGATACGTTCTTCTTCCTCTGAGTCATATTCTAAGTCTTCATTGGGCTGGAATTCAAGTTCAAGGGTGTCTGTGAAGGTCACGGCTTTTTCTAAATCTGTATATACCAAGCCTGTTCCTCTATGGATGGGTGGTATTACTGGTTTACGCTTCAGGCTGAAGTATTTATTTATGACCCAAAAGGCTGTTCCAAGGCCGTTGAGAAATTCACCCTATTTCACGTTTTTAAATATATAAATCTTTTTCCTGATTTCATTTGAAGGACGGTTGGCCTCCCTTCTGCTCTCCGGGTCACAAGTTATTTGAGTAAATTTCCGGATTCTATTTTGATTTCTAATCATGTTTTTAAAAGGCTGCGGTAAGTTAAAATAACTGTATGGTTTCCTATATTTGAGGGTGGAGCTATCAAAGGCATGCTTTAATAGATGGGCCAGGTTCTGTATACAGTTATCCAATTTTTCTAAGGCTTCTGGATGGTTTTTGATGCAGCTAACGTCTACTAAGTTCTTGAGCGCGTTCCAGTCGCTGGTAGATAACGTAGGGGTCATAGTGTTCATGGGACAGTTTATGGGAAGAATGAATAGAACCGGTTTATGATCAGAGTCTAGCTCATCTAAAACTTTCATATGCACGGTATAATCTAGGTTGGACATGCCGAGGTCTATTATATGGCCTTGGCATGTCTATTATATGGCCTGCTTGGTTCCACAAACGGTCGAGTCTACGTCCCGGAGCCACTCGTCATCAACGACGACCAAGAATCGTTTAACATCCCCCAATAGGACTCCTCAAGTGATTGGAATCCTGCTTTTAAAAGAGCTTGCTGTCCTTCAGCACCTCTACATAGACAATCTCCTTCTTCGTCGACCTTTGGCAGTCCTTCTCCAACCAATGCCTCTTCTAATTCTCCTACCACTTGGCTTTACACTGTGTGTAAAAGAGTAATCTCTAGGAACACCATCTCCGTCCGTTGCAATTCTTGTAATGGCTGGTGTCACCTTAGACCTTGCTCCGGATTGGTCTCGCATCATGGTTGGAATTCAAATTTCATTGGCAATTGCTGCCAAACTCCGCCTATTATTCCACCACAAAACCACTCACACCTGCAACGCACTAGCGTAGTCTCCGTAATTAATTGTTCATCCCCTCTCAAAATTCTACAGTTCAACTGTAATGGTCTAAGAAGGAAACTATTTGAAATTGCAGCATTCATGTTCTCCAACAACATTGCAGTAGCTGCACTGCAGGAGATTAAACTTTTGCCCAACTCCCCTCTCTTTCCCCCCTCAGGCTTTACACTTATTCGTAAAGGTCGACCTAGAGGCGCAGGAGGTGGCGTTGCTTTTCTGTTGCGGGATTCTACATATCATTTTGAGCTTTCTTTGCCCTCGTCTAATGACGAATACTTGGAGATTATAGGGTTAAAAATTTTCATTGGTAGGTCTTTAAGGTTCCTTGAACTAATCAATATATATTAGCTACCCAACTCTAGCTGCCTTCCGCAGCACACCCCAAATATTTCACATCTTCTAGATGAGGACTCGCGTTTTGTTCTGGGTGATTTGAATGCACACCATTCCCTCTTTTAGTGTTCTAAATGAGAACTCCTCCACTAGGGTAACGCCAACTTGTTCCAGCTCTCCTGATGTCAGTCTCGCAAGCCCTCTGCTTCTCGCTGCCTCGAATTGGAGTGTTGATATAGCTTTAAGCTCTGATCACACTCCCATCACAATTTCTATTCCATCGATCGAGGTCCTCACTGCGGCTGACAAGAAAACCTACAGGAATTTCAAAAAGCGAATTGGGCCCTTTTCAAAGATATTTCAGAACGCGACTTCAGCAACAGTTCCCTGTCCTCTGATTTGAACAAGGCAGAGAAACAATTTCGCAACATAATTATCAAAGCTGCCGCCACAGCCGTCCCAGCAGGTAGAATTAAAACCATTAGACCAGGTTTTCTTAGTGACGCTGTGCCTCTTGCTGAAGAACGCGGCAATCTTCGAAGATTGAACCCAACCAATCCACACATAAAAATCCTGAACAATAACATCCGTAAAATGGTGGACGATTATCGTCTTAGTAAATGGAAGGAACATTTAGATAATTGCGACCTCCAAAATGGTAAATTGTGGACTACCATTAAAGCACTTTCTAATCCTCCCTCTTTACTTCCTGGGCTGAAGAGGAATTCTTGACTCTGCCCATAAATATCGGTGAAATCAGGATCCCTACCACCACCAAACCTAAAATCCTGGGTGTCGTACTCGACAGTATGCTGACTTTTTCTGCACATGCGTCTGCTATGTGTGACCGGCTGAAATCGCGTAATAATGTGTTAAAAGCTCTCGCAGGTTGTTCATGGGGCAAAGATAAAGAAACCCTACTGAGTACATACAAAGCAATAGGACGTCCTATTGCGGCCTATGCAGCTCCAGTATGGACCCCACAACTCTGCGAGATGCAATGGACCAAAATCCAATCATGTCAAAACACGGCATTACGGGTTGTAACTGGTTGCCATAGCATGTCGCATGACGACCACCTTCATGCAGAATCAAAAATGCTTCTTGTAAAAGAGCACAATTATCTACTGTCCAAGCAATATCTTCTCGCGTGCCACATAGATGGTCACCCCAATGGCGTCATGACTAGTAGTGCCTTCCCTTCTAGATGCATTCGTCGATCTCTCCTTTCTTTTAATAATTCTATCGATACCTTTTGCAACGGAGCTAACATCAGTGAGGTCGAATATAAACGTGGACTTACGGCTCTCAACACACCGATGCAGTATCTTCTTCTAGACCTGGGTTGTCTGACAACAAGGTTTTTAATAGGTCTCCGCCTGAAATCTCCTCGGATGAACGCTCTCTTCCTCGTGCAACAAGAACTGTTCTTGCTCAATTGAGATCAGGACATAGCCGAGTGCTAAACAATTACTTGTCTCGCTTAAATACGTCCATCCACAATGTGTGCCCCAACTGCAGTTCTTCTCCCCATGACGTCGCCCATCTGTTTTCATGTATTTCTGCACACACAAATCTTCGTCCAATTAACCTTTGGACTCACCCCATTGAAGTGGCCAGGTTTCTCCGGCTGGATCCAGGATGATGATTTATATATACCTCTTCCCTACTCTTCCTCCTCCTTCTCCTTCATTACCCAACTAACTTTTATCCTATTTCCCTACGCATGTAATCGTCTTGTGTTTCCTTTCATGTTTATCTGCTTACAGGTCCTGCGGCTTATAACACCAACAACATATGGCCTGCTCCACTGCCGTAGTGAGTTGGCTCGTTACGCGTATGGAGTTGTAGCATATGATGGTTACAACAAACTGGAAAATTTTTCTTGCGGCCCTATTCGTACTTCTATCACCCCAGTTTCTGTGATAACTATTCAAGTCTTCAGTAAGGAATGTGGGTAAGTTGTTACTGATCAGTGTTGCTAGGTCCATTAGGTAGGTTTTCACGTTTGGCGGTGTATAAACTGAGGTAAAGATGATATTATCCGTTGGGCATTTAAGTAGTAGCTTCGAGCGATTGTAAGTTGTTAATTCTGAGGTAGTGGTTGATGTTTCTCCTAATAAGGATAGCAGTGCCCCTCCTCTTCTTTAGACCATGTCTGATATGTTAATGATGTAGTTAGGGATTTTTAGCTGCATTAAGGGTTTAAGGAAAGTCTATTGCAGAACCATATTGTCTGTTTCGAAATCATGAAGAAATTGTATAACTTCCTGTTTCTTGTTTGTTATGGAATTTGCATTACAGGTCACAACTTTCATGCGATGTAATCTTGATTCAGGTGACCTCAAGACTGGTGCTAGACTGCCTTGATAAGCTAAATTTGCTTGGCTAATTAAATCAGGTGTCGATTTTTTGGTTACCGCGACATACTGGCGTACGCGGAAACGAATACACGGACAAACTAGCCAGGAAAGGAGCAGCTACACCGATGTTGGTACTAGAACCTTCTTGTGTACTAGGAAATAATACGCTACTTTCTTTCATAAAAATAAAAGAGAACAGAAATAAAAAGGATAATTGGGATAATATACTAGGATTGAAACAATCCAAATCACTTATTGGTACCTATAACAATAAGTGATACCAGGATTGTATGAACCTACCAAAGGAAAAGCTTAGAATCATTACAGGCATTCTAACAGGGCACTGTAGATTAAAACACTACCTTACAATACTGGGGATACTTACGGATGCAAACTGTAGATTCTGTGAAGAGAATAAGGATAATTCAATATTTTTATATATATAATATTTTGTATAAACATATTAAATTGTTTTAATAAAGTTTAGAAATACAATAAAAATCAATCGTAATTGTTATCACTCTTATCGATTAGTTTGGGTGACAAGTGCAGAAGCTAATTCACACAAAGGGCTATCAAGCTAAACCAGATTAAGGATCTATAGTAAGTTATTACTATATTATGTGTCGTTCACACACAATTATCTGTACAAAGGATTAATATCCATCTTAAAAATATTTCAAATAAAATATGTTATTTTTAAATAAAAATTGAAACCCTTATAAATGAAAAAGCAAGAACACAATATAATTATCATAGTTTTTCAAAAAGCGTTCACACAGTTGTACTTCATTAAATTTATTAAACGAACAAAGTTTCATGTATAACAATATATACATACAGTATAAATTTTTTATATAAATAATTAACCCAAAATAGAGTTTTGTATTCAAATAGAAGTAATATTAATTTTTATTTAATTTTATTTCAAGTTTTTCATATTGTACATTATTATACGAATAACATTAGAAACAGTTTTTTAATTATTTTCAAATTTTAGCGATCAACGTTCATTTAAGTAAAACACTGATCGATTTGAATCAAACATTGCGGTTATTTACGATGTAATGTGAAAAACAAAATGCAATGTTGTGGTCAAGTTACTAAGTTAACTGTTTCTAAGTTAATCTTAAAAATGAGTACCACTACGGTGTACTGTGTTTAAAAAAAGGATTAAAATGACTACCCATTTTAAAATCTTTACCACGTCTTTTTTTCATCTCGTCAAAGCGATTGGACATTCCGTAGAGTTCTTTTGGAACTGCTTGGCCAGCTTCTTCCAAAATACGAATGAGATCCTTTGCAATACCCCAATCCGAGCGTGTTATATAACTTATGGCAGTGCCGGTTCGCCCAGCGCGTCCAGTTCTACCAACACGATGAACATACTCCTCAATGTTACGCGGAAAATCAAAATTAATAACATGACTAAGAAAAAAAAATTTTTCACAACTTCGGTTTTTAATACTACTAAGCACTTACGTGATGTCTTCAATGTCTAAACCTCTTGAAGCAACGTCTGTTGCTATTAAAATTTGTATGTCACCTGAGGTTAGATCAGCCAGTGCTTGTTCTCGATCGGCCTAAAGAAAATTTGTTTGAGTATATAAGAATCTTATGCACAGAGGCATTACTCTAATAAAACTAATGTATTATGTACCTGATCACGAGAACCATGTATACATTGTGTTAACAGGCCTTTCAGAGATAAATCACTAGACAAGTCGTCAGCACGAGCTCGTTTAGAACAGAAGATAATAACTTTATCGCTTGATTTAAGGTTTTTTAAAAATGTCAGGACCTGTAACAGGAACAAATACATTTTTCTTCAAAGTTTTCTTTATTTAACTTTTCAAATAATATTACCGTATTAAATTTGTCCGCATCATCCACGAGTTCTACATTTTGAGTCACAGAATGAGTGGCAGTTAAATCAAGTGAGCCAACCCATACCTGAATAGGATTGTTCATATAGGTTTCGGCCAATCTACTAACACATGGTGGCCAGGTGGCACTAGTCATGACGGTCTGCCTGTCAGGGCGTATGTCAAGTAGAACTTTTCGAATCTGTGGCTCGAAACCCATATCCAGCATACGGTCCGCTTCGTCTAATATTAAATATGTAACCGATGTAATATCTACAACTTTAGCTTGAACCAAATCATTAAGACGTCCAGGCGTACAAATTATGCATTCAGCTCCTTCTCTGAAATCTCTAATCTGGTCACGACGACTGCCACCACCATAAATACATACACTGAATAAGAATTTCATTATTGTTTATTCTTTTATTCATTTGTTTTAAATTATTTCTTAACTTACGCTTTTATTCCACGGAACGAGTACTTGTTAACTTCTTTTGCTATTTGCTGTGCTAATTCGCGTGTTGGAGCTAAAATTAATATATTTGGACCATTGCGTTTCGCACGTGGTGTAGTCTGTCCATCAGTATGAATCAAAGCAGGAAGCAGAAATGCTAAAGTTTTTCCAGTTCCTGTTTGGGCAATACCTATCATATCCTCGCCTCTCAATAATATAGGCCATGC